TCCTGGATCCTACGAACTTCCTCCATCTTTGCTGACAGACGAAGGTAATCCTTTGTTGACTAGACTCGCTACGCTTTGATACGATTTGGGACACTGAAGAAGTGCCCTCAGCCTGGCGACTGTCATCTGTCGTGCCCATCCTCAAGGATTGTCAACGTACTTTGTGCGAACATCATCGTGGCATCAGCCTTGTTTCTATTGCATCTAAACTCCTCATGGATTTCATTCTCACACGACTTACTAGTCCCCGTTAGAACCGATTAGCTGAAAGCCAGGCTGGCATCCGCGCCGGTCGTGGTTTTATCGACCACATATTTTCGCCAAGTGTTAGAGCAACGACACATGCAGATCTGGACAATGGGGGTTTTCCTTAACTTGAAAACTGCCTTCGACTGTTAATCGAGACAGTTTGTGACACTATCTATCCATGAATGACGTGCCAGCTTAATTCCTTTCCATTCTGAAGTCTATCGCGCTTCTCGAGACCGTGTAAGGGTCTAGTAGAAACTCTCCGGTGTTTCCCACGACAAATGGGGTTTGTCAGGGTTTTCCTATATCTTATTTCCTCTTCAACTTTGCGATCGAAATAATCATGAGCGACTCCATTCTTTCAGACTTCGGAAGGGGTTCTCTCAGGTGACCGACAGACAAACTGGAAGTGTGCGGATGACATAGCTCTTTTTGGATCTAAGGCAGCGGCTATGCAAACACTGCTAGATAGGCTGATGCGTAATGCTGCACGCTTCGTCATGTGTTTTGCACCTTCATAGTGCAAAGTACTGCAGCAGGACTGGACCGACACATCTCCAGTCTTAGCTATCACCGAACAGTTACTGAAAGTGATGGAACCGCTCACATACCTTGGTACCTGTGTCACCTCTGATAGTCACATCACTGAGGAATTTACCTTGTGAATCAGTAAGGCCCATGTGGCTTTCCAGTGACTCAACCATCTATGGAGACGGCGCGATATCATCCTGTTAGTGAAAGGTAGGGTGGATAACGCTGCTGTAAGACCGGTCTTATTCTGTGGATCAGAGACATGGCCAGTTCGCGGCGAAGACATTAAACGCTTGGCCATGTTTGACCACCGGTACTTGCGGATTGTTGCTTACGTTTGGTGGGAACACCGAGTGCGCAATGCAGAGGTCCGTTAGTTAGTTTTTGGCAAAAAGCCTTCTGATGCCTCACTCGAGTGTTTGCTGAATCAAGATCTCTTATGTTGCCTTGGTCATGTTCTCTGGATGCCGTTGCTCGACTCCCTCGGCTTGCATTATACGCCATGGCTGCACCAAGTTGGATGATACCGCGAGGTGGCAAGTCTATGACGTGGAGTAGTGGCATTAACTAATTGACTGAGAAATTTACTCATGCTGGTGCGTACTGTCTTCGTGTATGCGTACCTCGCAATGGTCCACACCAATGGTTAGAGACCGTATCTGAGATGGTGCAGTCAGACAGTCAGTGGCGTTCATGCATTCGATTTCTTGCATTTAGTTGATGATTTTTGTTCTATTCTGATTAGTTTACCCCACTTCCTTCTTGCTTCCATTTTCTTTACCTTATATTTGCTTTGCTGTTGTTATTGCTATTTTTGCGATGTGAGTCGTGACAACTGAATCCACCGCAATTCGGTGCTCGGATCATGGTTGATCAACTGAACTGCCTGCAAATCTCAGACGCCACGTTGTATGCGCGTTGTTCGTACAGAGTGAGTGCTTATGGCAAACAGTCGTCAGCTTTCAATATCTTCAGTGGTGTGAGACAAGGACGCCCGTTGTCATTGAAACTCCATTAACTTCACATGACTTGCTGCTTCCAGGTGAACGCATTCTTTGAGTACACCGACGTCATTCCCCTCATATATGACAGCGCTTAACCTTGTCAACTAGCGCTTGACAGATTAATACTGGCTGTCAGCCGTTTCGAGCTATGCTTTGCGCCCTCCAAATGCGAAGGTATCTTCCAAGATTAGCGAGGACCGCTCCCCGCACTGGCCCTTTTAGTGGTGATCAGCTAAAATGGTCGAGAGATTCAAGTACCTTTGCAGGTGTATCAGCGCCGGCAGAATAGAGAATGAGATCACGAACTGTATAGCAAAAGTTTGGGACGCTTTTTCTTACCTTCGCCATCTTGCCGCGCCGGCGCTACACCTGTTTCCCTGAAGGGCAGAGTTGACAATGCAGCCGTGCATGTAGCCCTCCCGCACGGTTGCGAAACCTGGCCCATCAATTCTACTGACATAAAGTGGCTAATTAGGTTCGATCATTGCTGATTTCGCAGCTTAACTCACGTGTGGTGTGAACACCGAGTAAGCGATGAGCGTGTTCGGCATCGTGTAGTTGGTGCAGGAAGAGCGATTTAACCGCTCAGCACCGTTGTATCTGTCACGCATCAGGCTCCGATGGCTAGGCCACGTATTACCCATGTCAACACACCGACTCCCGCTACGTGCGTTGTTTACGTAACCGAGATGTGGATGGAAGCAGAATAGGGGAGGCCAAGTGATGATTTGGTCAAGAGGAACGCATTCCCTCACTTCGCACTTGGCATCGGTTGGTGTCTCGACTGACTGGCTCAGGTCCGAAGGATGTTGAACACATTTGGTCAGATGTACTTGTTTTCATGGCATGGAGCCGACCTCAAATGGCATCTTTGTTGTGACTCCTCCAACCCTTTCTCCTTTAGCTTCCCCCTACAATCACGTTCTAGTGCATAACGCATAATATAATATTTAGCATTATATTGCTAGTTTTTTACTTGTTTTTGTAGTCCGTAATATTCAATGTCTTTTCTTTTTTATCGCGACACATTAACTGAAGTGTGTCCCTCACCTTTAGCCAATGTGTGCAATGATAATGATGCCTCCTGCTAATTCTATACCTTAACTAGTGAAATTCTTCATAGCTTACTATACTTGTTCCTATTTATGTCTTGTGGCTACCTGGATTTGCCACGGCTTAGTATTCCACGGTAATATTTCGGTTTCGGCAACAGTGTACCAGAGTTTATCCACTTTTAGCAGTTGTTCACTGTTCGTTGAAGCAATCATACGGTAGCCATCTGCACACATCTGTAATTTCTTTCTAACATTTAGTTACATTCATCAATTATTTTTTCATGTTTGCTTCTGTCTCGGCTATTCGCGGAGCCTGCCAAGCGCAGCTTCCATTCTGTTTTCTCCGTCCATTTGATCACATCCGCCTTTAAGCGCCAAACTGCACGTTTCCAACAAGCTGACTGATTTGAAGCAAAGCCAGGGATTGAGTACGCGCTTCTTAAGATATCACCCCGTAAGATCATCCGGTATGCTTCGCTGCCCCGCAACCACCATCATTCGCGCACGGGCTAAGGATACTGCAAGAGCCGCCCAGTCCCCTACGCAGGCTCGATCCCGAGCCTTCGGATTACAAGGCAGGTCACGGGTCGGCGCTATAAGTCAATTTATTATTCTCACGTTTAGTGTTCTCAATATTTAACCAGATTATACTACCTATCAGCGCGTTATCAATCGGCAACTAATATGACAACCTTCTCTATATGAACAAGCATAACTGGTAACATAGTGGTCAAGCTCATTAGACTTCAGACTCCATGCAACTGAGCTAACTACACTCTCGAAGTCTTACGTGGTACACACACATATACGTCATCAACTCATCACATACCACTTCCAACTCTGCTCTCCCATCGCGTTGCAGGTTCCCACAGCGGCCAGTCTTTGGATTCCTAATGTTGCTTATTTTGCAACTTGTTGAATGTTCTAGTCATATTCGTCGCAGATGCATTCAGACAAAGGCTGGCCTCCGTGGACTGATCACATGCTCACTGGATGCCAATCGGAACGTTACCGGCTAGATGCACAGTTTCTCCATAGGGAAACAATGCGCCACTTGTTGTGTGGCAGCGATCACAGACCTTTTATTCATACAACGTGGAATCGTCTATACAGTACCTAAATTTAATACACCATTCAATTGTGATAGCTTTTCACTGTATGTTCCTCATTGCCTCACAAGCACCATTCACTCGCTGTGTGCCCCCCTTCAATCCACACTGCCCCGTCTGGGACCACGTTGAACTTGGGCCGCACTAGTTCTCTGCCGTCCGTCTGACCCATGCATTTCTGGTTAGCTTGATTGGGAGCACTTGCTTCGCTTTCTATTCACTAGTCTTGCGTCGACTCTTTCCATTTGGTTTGCCGTCACAGGAACTTACCTGGCGAATTTCCACAATGTCTCTCAGTACAAACACGGTGAATCTATTTTATTGCAATGAATGTGTTAATTGTGTTGAAGAATTTTGAAGACGATTTTTAAACATTTCAACAGCATTCCAACCTCTACTTTCTTTGCTTGTCTCAGAAATACAGTGTATATTAGCACGCACGTATTGTTCGCTCGCCGTTGTCCGATCCAATCCACGCATTCGTTATCAGTAGCCAAGCTGCGGCTTTATTCTCACTAGGCCAAACTGACCCTACATTGTACCTCAGCATATGCGATCGTGATCTGCTCGCGTGGGCGGCGCTTGATCAGCCTACTGCGCCGATCCCTTTCACCCAAATGGATAGTTACCATCACACCGCTAACTCATACAGGTCTACTTCACCCTAACGGATACAGTGACACTTAGCGATGTTGAGTGAAATCTGTTCGCTCTCACCTGGTCACCATCAGCCCATAACTTCTTTTGTTATCACTAACTATCGCGCTGTTATCTCCAGCTCAGAGTAATCAGCAAATTCACAAGCTATGCACTCGAACTCCCCACTATTATCTGACTGGGTTTGAGCCTGATTTGCGAGACAGGACACTTTATCTGCTTTACGGCGACCTGGTCGAGTTAACACCATCTGATTGGATTCTCATAGGTTCGCTTTTTGCCTTGTTTTCTGAGCTTGTGGGATATTTCATAGAGGTCCACTGCATTTTGCAGCCATACTAGTTAAGTGCGGTCCAACCACTCATTCATCATACTTTATTTCACTGCGTCTTCAGGGCGTGTATCCTGTTCGTTTGCGCAAAGTGATCATAGTGGAACCCCCCATTTGGTTTCGTGCCCCATTCGGAGTTCTGCGACTGTTCGTGAAGGAGAAGATGCGCGATCGGGTACGTGATCGACTTGCCTTGTTTTTTTATTTGACTGCTTTTCTTTATTCACTCCTATTCTCGTATTGCTACTCTCTCAAATATGCCTCGTTCGTTTTTGGCGTGGAGTCGACGACCGCTTATTTTAGCGTCTCATACTATCCAGTGCTTCAGACAAAGGGCTCATGATAAATGACCGTCATGATCTCACACTTTCCATCGTGCTCTCCTGGCCGGAATTACACTTTGTAAGTAGCACAACCATTTTTCCTGACGGACCGAGATTACTCCTGACTGACGAAGTCTACGAGCCTCAAAGCGTAGAAATTTGGCCAGGGCCAGGTCGGCGTAGCGATCATTCGTTTTCGTTTATGGATTCAACTCATTTTATGGCTAATCCGTTTTCGCATGCTACCAAACACGAGCGCTCCTCTACGCCCATGACGCACCGCTGTTGATGAGTCCGATCACATTCTTTGCTGTGCTACTGCCTCTCCTACGGAGCATTTGATCCCCGACATTGTTTCCTTCTCTTAACCCTGCTCCGCCAGGCCATATACCATTTCATTTTTATGGACTGATAGCGCGATTCGATTGACCATTATACCAATCAGGCGTAATTGTGCCTAGATGTTCCTATCGAGCGAATTCTTTCTCTCCACATAAGACCGCGCTCACAAGTGGTATTGACCCTAGACCCAACGATTCACCTGGGCTATGGCTACAGCAGTATTGGTTCTCTCCCACTCAAGTCGGTGCGTTGATCCTAGCTTTTATTAATGATGACACAAATGATTATCATTGAAATTACTTTGGTGTTTCCTTCTCCCTGTATTCATCAGGTGTGCGTTAGGCATTCACACTCAGCTTTGGACGTCTACTCATGTGCAAAATACTATGTTTGTAACCGGTAATTCGCACTATTTCAGCTCCAAACGTCCCAAAAAGATTTACTTAGGCCATAATTGTTGTGTCTTGGGCGGCCGCCTCCTAATATTTACCTCAATTCGAATATCTAACAGATACCCTACCTGTACATTCGAAGTTCCTGTCCCAATGGCCGAGTGATGAGACAGTCAAGTGTGACTTGAGTCAAAGGTGTCTACTGTTGCAGACCTCATTCCTTCAGGGACAAGCATTTATTCGGCAAAGTAAACAGTGGAAATTACAGCACGTTTGACAAGCGAAAATCCCCCATATCAATTGTTCGTTCACATCCATAACTAACGACCCTTACGAGCCGATGAGGTTTCCCCTTTAATTCAATTAAGCAAACACTTAGTAATCCACACTAACGTCGGCTAATCCGTGTCCATTGTTCGAATCCGTTACTTGCGTCTCCCATTGGTTGTCTGACTCGCTCGTTTGACCAATCTGCTCACTATGATAGGACATTCCCATTACACCCACCATCTCTGCATTTTGGGCATCTAAAATTACTCAAACTAAGCGACTCCGGACAGCTTCCTGGAATGGTGCATCTTTCTCACACGAGCAGAGAATAGCTATGCTGTCAACGTGAATGAATCGCATCGCTTTGCGTTGTTATTTATGACAGTGGAATTGGTAAGTTGCGAGTTTATTGATGTCAGTCTTAATGGCTTCTTTTGTCAGAAACTAACTACGCCTTCAATCTCTGGAAGATTCTTTGGCATTGCGTGATCAAATTATGGACTCTCGTATGTAGCTAGTCGATATACCTGGATGAAATAACAGCACATCACAAGCTTGTCGCACCTGTGATCAATCGCATGCACGGGACGCTTGACCAGAGAATTTTTCGTTCGGACATTCCACACATGTTTATAGCGACCCTGGGATAATCGCTGTTTTTTGTAGCATCCTTTGTGTGAATAGTTTGCGTCACACGTAATCTCACTCGCACAACAAACACTCTATGTGGACTACTGTGGGGCAAGCATTACCGGTGGGGCTCGGTGGTGGCGCCTTGTTACAGCTGTTTGCGCGCAATCTCTACGTCCCAACATCGACTTTCAACTCATATATCTCTCTCTTTTGCCTGAAGAGTGCACGCCAGCACAAAATCGGGAATGGATTGCGGTGCTTGGCGCATGCAACACAGCATTTATTCACCCCGACGAATAGTTACAACGGTCTATTCGTGATGCGCATGGTTTGAAATGGAGTTCTCATCTTCCTAATTACCACAACCAGTTAATGCCACTTACAGAATTTGTATGTCGCACAGTTGGCCGAAACCTAAATGTTTCTTGTATGTGTCCACTTTTGGAGTACTGCCTGATCATATACAGTCACATGCGCAAGAATGAGCTCTTATCACGGGCACGTCTGCAGCGGTCATTCACTGAAAGCCTTTTAAGTGAATCGTCGCTAGCAAGATATCATGATTGCTGTAAATTACTGAGCATCGATCCTCTATGATTATGACGACTGACGCTGAACTTAGTTTTCTCTTACAAACTGATACACAACCTCAGCTTCATCGCAAGCACACAGTTGAAGTTTAGGCAGGTTAATGAATACAACTTAAGGAACTGAGAATTTTTCTTTCGTAACAATAGTTCACCTTGCAACTTCGCACAAACTTCTTCGTAGTTCGATACTCAGCTATCTGGAACCGACTGTCGCACTCAGTAAGAGCTAGTCCGACTATCGGTCAATTCAAAACTGAATTTAGTCAATTCCTGGTACTACCGAACATGGTTAGACTGTTTACTCGGCCGATAGCGACCGAGGAGCTATGTTTTCAAGGACCTATGAATGTTTTAAAAATAGGATCACACAATGTATTGGTCGCTTCGTTAGACCCAATCTTGCAGCTTGGAGTTTATGCTCTCCTGTTCGCCACCTCAGCACTTTTATGACGATAGCCTATACATGGAATTAGTCGAAGCTTTATTATCCCAACGCTTCTCACGTATCTTACCCTACTAACTGTCCTCTATTCTTCTTGGAGGAAACAAACTGGGTATCCACAGTACCCGTGACAGCAGTGTAGAATTGTGCAACCAATCTCTCCTTTTCGATCATCTACACCTATCAAAGCCATCGCACTATTCCTCTGAGAACTCTCCTTTAAACGAATATTTCGGATGTTTATTTGTTTTATATGATCCCTATGTACATCTTAAATTGAACCGCCATCTGTCGCTCCTTTATGATTGCCGTTCGTTATTTTTAGCTTTAATCGTTTTCCTGTTTGCTTTTCTTCTTTATCATTGTTGGCCACTCCTGTGGTGAAAGACTGAAGCTACTTACTTATTTGCTACACCCACGCAAGGCGAATTGCCACATAATCACTAGCGCATTTTAAAAGTGCTGAACTCGAAATAGCTTCACAAGAGAATAGGCTGTGTGTCGGGATTACCTCGAAATATACAGCTGCCGAAAAATATTGAGTAAACGTGATGATATCAAAATTGCACACGACAGAGGTAACAAAGTTAACTTATTGATGGCTTATTTGCTTGTAGTAGTGGCCAAAAAAGAAGTGCCAACGTGGTGAGAGCCTTTTGCATATATTTGCAGCCAAAAAAACAATAAATCAATATATTGAACGAGTCAAAACAATGAGGATCGTCTGCTTTAAAGCCCAACATCACATGACCCGATGAAACATGGAAGTGCGCATGAAACCTCTCGAGGGACTACCCCGCATGAATGCAGGTCCCCCTGGGGGTGGGTTCCATGGATGGTCGTATTACTTTACCTGAACTGATGACGATTCTCGCAATTATTCTTACTATCAGCTCTTTCTTGCACGACTTTTAATTGATAGCAAACTCCCAACACTTCAGATGAAACACTGGTACACTTAGACACTTTTCTTCGCTATGTGATTATGTTGTACGATATGGTCAGACTACGTAATCATTCTGTGTCTCGTAATGTCGAGAAATGCATCATTTAATTATTTATTTATTTTGCTCCATTTATTGATATTCTACCTGATCTATGTGCCTTCATGTGAACTTTCCCTTCTTTAGATCTCCACAGTTGACCTGGATGAGCTTCATGTTCATTTGCCTCTCTCAGTAATTCACAAGATCTTTCAACAACTTACTCAGCCTCGTCATTTCGACTGGTTGCGAACATGTTTGGAAAAGACCGGTCATGCCTCTCGACTCCCCGAGGATTATTTTGTCACTCCGTCCCCCACGCACCGCACCTTGACAAACTCCGACCTTATTTCGGACCGCTTTGGGCACTATGGCTCGCTCCGACTTCGTCAGCCCAACCGCTTACGACACGAGTCCGAGGATCGCTTTGGGACAGTTCAGGGGTTGGTCGGACATCGTTACTCCACACTCGCATCCGCGAATGCTCCCCCGTCCTCATCAATGCTTCTGCGCGATTCCAGGAGCCGTGATCGGATGCTGTCATCCATGTATGGTACTATCCACAATTCAGCCGGTACCTACCATACTACTGTCATGTCTCCGAAAAGAACATCCAACTCAGGATCGGTCCGCATTTCAAAGACTCGACAGCGAAACAACAGCTGTCTCCGATCTTTCTCCCCAGCTTCCTCAACAGAATTATCCATACCGACGAACGAGACTACTGCTTCATCGCCTACCCGCTTGACGGTCCCTGAGTTCATTCATCGTGTCCATACACTGGGCGCATTAGGCTTGTGCGCCGAGTTTGAAGCTATGTTCAAAGACCAACCCATTCGCGGCTCATTCGATCAGTTTATGTGAGTACTGGTCTTTCTACCACTTTTATTCCAGATTAACACCTCTCACTTTCTGCTGCCTTTGGTCGTGGTGGCTATTATTATTGTTGTTATTATTTTTATGACGATGGTAAGCCAGATATGTCAGGGATGTGCATAATTGTATGGCCCGATTCTGTCCTGGATGATTTCATGATCGAACTAATGAATATTTAGTCAGACAACCCTTCAAACCTCCCGGCACCAGCGGTGCGTGCAATTTACTCCCCTACAATGCGTATGCCCCTTTCTTTGATGGTTTGTGATTGTTCCGCCTGATGTTGAGCCATTTTGTGCGGTTATAATTCGCAAGTTACCAAGCTATCGCCACTTTCAAGCTTATTGGTAACACTGGTATCCTGCCAAACTAGGCTTAACCATTATAAATGAATCACATGAATCTCATAGTCTAATTTCAAGGCCTCCATATTTTTAGACATAAACAGCATTTTGGGTCATTAGGTGATCTTGAGTAGTCAATTCGGTCAGCCCCCGCGTCTGAATCCCTTCGTGTCCAAGTGGCTTAGGCTAGACCATATACAGTTAACTTACGAACTCCGCGTGAAACTGACAGTCTAATCACTATCACAGCTTGTAACCTTTCTCACACTGCTGGTACAGTTCTCTCACCTTTTACTTAGGCATAGTGTTCTCTGCAAAGAATTGGCCCACCTTCAGAGTTGTGTTTACAAAACCCGCCGTGTAGTTGAATTGCGACACGCAATCTCTATTGAGACCTTGGTTTTCTTTGAACTAGACCTCGGTCATTTCGATCGCAAGGACCGTATCCGCAATGAAGCTGTTTCGATGTTGATGGTCCAAACACTGACACCCTATGACCGGTTTCGTTTTCTACCTGATAAGTCCAGAGGATGACGAAACCGGTAGACATGTAATATTGTGAATGATCGCCAACATAATCGATCGCTGTATGTGTGGAATCTTAGCTGCAGCTTTTTGTTGCTTCTTTACTTTATTCAGTATTCACTATTAATTTGTGTAAATCATTTATAAGATGTTGTCCCCCTAATTTGAAGTAGACTGGAGAGAGTCTGTCTGCTCCTGCGCGAGGGCAGATCCACGGGGCCGGCCCTAGAGAGAATCGCGCTCAAATAGTTTTTTGATTATCTGTCCGCCGCAGAGGATAATCAACGGCACCGCCTCTGCTGCATCGAGCAGGGTGGATAGGGGTGGCGATGCCATTGCTCAGATCTTCCTGTCTTTTTTCATTTTTTCACTCCTGTCGTCCCGTTCCAACTTAACTTTTATCCTCTTTCTTCAACCCCAAATATTCTTGGTCCTTCACCATTTTGTACCAACAGATGCTTTTCTTCTAGTTTCCGCTCACACACAATTGCTGAGTGTAGCTCTGATCTAGTCGATAAATCCATGTCCATTCAAGCGTACAATGTCAGTTTATCCGTTTCTGTTCGGGGCTTACGATTCTCTCTAAGACTAGCATGCACTCAACGTGCGCACTTTGTTGCAAATTTACCGATTACTAGGGCAACTGTCGATCGATGTCTACTACCAATCCTAAACCTGCCTTCAAAATAGCTCTTTGCTTGCACTGCGATTCCACCACATGGGACACTGGTGCTACCTTCTCATTGCGTTTGTCTAAAGATAACGCAGCTGCAAATGCCGCAAGTCGGTGTAGGCATTGTTTTAGAGTTGTCATGCTGAACCTGATCGATTGGGTCCCAATCGACAGCCGAATTATCCCCATCAAATTGGCTGACTCGTTCCAAGCTTCGAAATCGCACGGGAGACAGACGGTGGATGTTTACCGTTGCTGCGTACGTGCCCACAAACTGTAGCACCGACTCGGTGAACGATGCCCTATCACCAACTGAACGAGCTCTTTCATCACTTAGTAAATCCGGATCTTGTAGTACTTTCGGGTGCTTTGAACGTTCAACTTGAAAAATTGCCCACTGGTGTGTTTCATTTGAGCAACAAATATGGTGTAGGCTTCCGCGATGATAACGGTGAGCAGTTGCTACACATATGTGAAAAGGTTCGTCAGCTGAACCTGCAGAGATCCTTGATGTGATCTACTTGGATTTATCGAAGGCGTTCGATCGTTTAGATCATCTGGTTCTCCTTTCCAAGCTCCAGTCTTACGAGATCGGTGACCCTCTCTTGAGCTGGATCGCCAACTTTCCCGCAATGACAATTTGTGGTGCGAGTCCGGAGTTCCCTATCTGAACCCATACCATTGGAGTCTGGTGTGCCCCAGGGCTCAGTTCTAGGTCCACCGTTGTTTTTAGTTTTCATAAATGACCTTGCACGGAATGTCGCTTCAAATTTCCTGCTGTTTGCTGACGATATCAAAATATGGCGCCGGATTCAGGCGGATGCTGATCAGAATTTACTTCAATGTGATACAGCTACGATACAAGATTGGTCAACCCGAAACCTGTTACAGTTCAACGGGGACCAATGCAAGGTAATCTCCATACGACACCAGTGTGACTGTTCCTAAGGCTAGGAACGCAAGTACCGCGGCGGTCATCCGTTAAACGCGACCTTGGCGTCCTTGTTCAGGATAACTTGGGTTGTTCCAAGCAGTCCGCAAAGGCCTCAAAAGCTGGTAACCAGCACGTTCGGTTGCTACGACGGGCGTTCGGACAACTAGACACCACGCTTTCCAGACAGACGCTGAATGCGTATGTTCGTCCCCATGTCGAATACGCGATCCAAGTCTGGCAACCATGGCTGAAGCACGACCTTACTGCAGTGGATCAATCCCAACGTCGGGCTTCTAAATACGTCATTGGAATGCACCACCTTCCGTAAGAGCAGAGGCTGAAACCTTTGAGAGTATTCAGCGGGCGGTATCGCCGACTACGAGGCGACTTGATTATGACGTAGTTGCTTTTACACAATCCAAAACATGTGTGCCGCTCTTGACTGCAACTCAGCAGTGACATTGAACAGAGGCCACTCCTTGAAATTGGCAGTACAGTACACCCGCACGGTGTGCCGTAGAAACTTCTTTTCACTTCGTGTGTGTCAGCCATGGAATGCTCTTACCGAACCTGTTGTTTCAGCACCCACGCTAGCCCTATTTGAAAGTCAATTGGATGACGCACTCCGCCACTTGCATTTTGTTATTTGACCCTACTCCCGGGAAATACCTTGGATTTACTTTTTTCGCCTATTTTAGCTATGGAAACGCCCGAGCTGCAGGGCTACTGAATCAAAAACGACAAATCCATTATTTTGACAGTAAAACTACTAACTACATTTTTCGCTAACCCAGCAGATCACCCAACGGGGCTTGTAAAGCAATGCTTCTTAACCCGTATAAAATCATTGCTCGCGAGCACTAACTTCCGACACGGCACTCGCAGTAGAGTAACTGCGCCCACCAACCATGGGCGCAACTGAATAGCCTCGTGATCAGTTACTGCTGGAGAGGATGTGTTAAACAAAAGTTCCTCTACTTGGAGCATTAGCGTGGACTCCGACCATGCACTTGTATGTGCCGATCTGCAGCTGTGTCTCAGCGGACGTCCGTAACGACGCTGTGAGCGCATAGACACCAGCCAACTGGCGAACCCACATTTTCTGAATGTCCATCAAAGTAAGTTGGCATCCACGCTGAGTAAGTGTGAACTGAACCCAGTTGGGGGTCACTAGTCACATGTCTTCATGTGGCAAAACAAATTACCAATCTGGACACTGGGTCTCTATGCAGTCTCTGATACTTCTAGATACTCGCCGACATGTGCTTGCTGGAAGCGAGCACAATGAGACTCGCAAAGCTCTCAGGGCGAAACTACATGGTAACCTAAAGAGAGACCGCGAAGCTCAGTTGAATCTCTGTGCATCCGAGATGGAAGCGGCCATTGCCGTTGGTAATCGTCGTCTGTTATTCCGTCTCACACAGGTAACGAGCAGCAGGAGACCTGGTGTCAGTGAGACCATACGCGATGAGAGTGGACAACTGATCGACAGCTTGTCAAAACCCTTGAAACGGTTGTCATGTGCCTTTCTAGGCATTGTTTGCCATTCACCCTGGGCCGTCTTCTTGGATCTGCCCTCACGCGCAGAAGTGGAACATGGGACGAGACTGTTGAAATTGAGTAAAGCCGCAGGAGCAGATAGACTTCCTCTAACCTTATGCATGGTTTGCACAACCTACTAGTGAAGGTCTGGGAGCAGAAAACTGTCCAAAAGACTGGAGCCACTTGATAATAGTCCCATTTTTCAAAGGTGTCTCCCGTTCGGAATGCGGCAATCACAGCGGAATCAGTCTGAGTCCGTTTACCTTTAACTTGCTTACGTCTGTCGTCCTCCCTAGACTGACTGGTACCTATGAAACCAAATTGATAAGGAGCAAGCCAGGTTTCGTCGAGGTCATAACTGCTTCGTTCACGTCTTCACTTTGCGTCAATTGCTTGGGAACCGTCATCATAGATGCCTTCAATTCGGTGATCGATGTGTTCTTTGGGACTGTTCGCTAAGGAAAGGTCTGTACGGGAAATATGTAAATTTTATCCAAGCGCTTTACGCGCCTAGCTTGACCAGAGTTTACGGCATTTTGTCGCCGCCCTTCTATCTCTCCAGCGCTATATGACAGAGATGCCTGCTGTCGCCTTTCCTCTTCTACTTCGCCATTGACGAAGTCATGGAAATTGTGTTCACTAAACATGACTTGGAACGTGTGGAGCTACTCCCAGGTGAACGACTTCTTGACTTGGAGTATGCTGACGACATTGCCCTCATATGCGACAGTCCACAAATGTTCCAATTCGCTCTGCAAATTAGCACTGGTTATCAGCCTTTTCGGACGTTGCTTTGCACCCCCAAATACAAAGTCCTCCAAGACTAACAAGGACCCACCGTTGCGCCGATCCTTGGTGTTGATTAGCTAGGAGTTGTTCAGGAATTCAACTGCATGGGCAGCTATATTATTGCCCGTGGGATCGAAGGTGAGGTCACGAACCGTATAACGAAAGTTCGAATCGCTTTTGCTACTCTTCGTCACCGGCTGCGCCGGCGCAATATCACTTGCTCTGAATGCAGAGTTTACATTGCAGCCATGCATATAATCTTTCTGTACCGTTGCGAAACCTGGCCCACCAGGTCGTCAGACATAAAGAGGCTAGCTGCGTTGGACCATCGCTGCCTTCGTAGCTTGGCTCTCCTCTGGTAGGACCACCGCGTGACCAATGAGCGTGTTCGGCGCCCGTATTTGGTTCAGGAACTCCAATTTAACGGCTCAGCACCTTTATTTCATCCACCGGGCTCCGATGGCTAGGCCACTTGTTGCGCGTGCCAATACACCGACTCCCGCGACATGTATTGTTTGCGTGACCATAGTCTAGATGGAAGAAGAGGAGGGAAGGCCAAAGGATGCTTCGGTCAAGTGGAATGATGTCCCTCACTTCGAACATGGCGTAGCCTGATGTCTCCTGGCTACCGGGTTGTGCTCCGAAGAACGATGAACACATTTGGTTGGATACACCAGTTGATATGGCGAAGAGCCGACCTCAATGGTCTTTGTCTTGGGAGTTTAATTGTCTGTCCCCTTCCTCTTTTTATTCCCTCTTCAACCACGATCTCATACCCAATGTATTATATGATCTTTTTCATGATATCACTATTTTAGTTTTTGTTTCTCCCAATATTCTCTCTTATCTTCTTTTGTTATGCGGCACATTAGCTGAGGTGTGTTTTTCACCCTTAGCTCCCGTGTATTGATGAGGATGACACTGAAACAGTTCCAACTGGCACAACTGTTCAAGCAAGTCCAAAAAGGGAATTCCTCCCTTATAAATGGGCGGATTCTATCATAGGGAGCATACCACAGCGGCATCAGTTTGGTTTCGATGGCCACTATCACTAGCCTCCATTTTCATTTGCTACCTTACTGTGAAACGGGCATCCCTGACAGTACCCTTGGTGTGGTGGCTTAAGTGTTTGGTTTGCAGCTCTTACCAGCTCTGCCCACTACCGCTCGTTATCCCATGGCATCACAATTGATTACTGGTGTGTTTGTTGGCATCTTTATAGGCGGATAGAAGGTAGGTTTTCTGTCGGTATTTAGCTGTATACATAGTACTATGTCTACAGGTGCTAGAGCAACATTAGACACCGCAGGCCGACTACATCTGTGTTTCTCAACTTCACGAGCACGTTTGACTACGTCGATCGCCCCCTATTGTTCGATATACTTTTCCGATAGAGTATTCCCATGAACTTCGTTAACACCACGGACCGTGCCAGGGTCTGTGGCGAGTTGATGAACGTCTTCTCGTCAATAAGGGGTGTCTGTCAACAGATGAAATTATTTCATGTTTCACAAAGTCGGAAAACCTTTCACATGTTACAGCATGTTTCTCACTTGCTGGGTAGTTTGTGATCTTCAACCCTTTAGCAATCGCCACCTACGAATGACAGCATCAAATTCGAGCCGATTAAATGCTTTGAAACACGTTAGCTAATGATGGTTAGTACAGTTCAATTAATCAGGCCAGATCACGTGGTGGTTCGGGTTCAGGCTATATTTGTCGATCCCCATGCTAAGCAATGTGTCATCCTTTATAACCGGTCGAGGTGGTGCGAGACCTGAGGCATCTGAATCCAATAGTACTGCACGTGACACGTCCTGGTGAATTAAGGTTGTGAGACATGCTGCACCTTCGTCATCACCATCACTATCCCAATTAAACTGTTCCCATCGGGCTTGCCTGTTCAAGCCATACACTGGCTTTTTATAATATCGTTTGCGTGCTATTTGTCTGTGAGATAACGCAGCAAAACTGCACCGGACGTGTCTACTGGGATGAACTGGATAATTGAGAAGACACCAAACGAAAGGCCGGTTAGACACTGCCCAGGATAAATCTTCCAGCGGATGATATTCACGTGGATCGGAGGAGTAGTTTAACATAGCTTCGACATGGTGCAAGCAATGCACAACGTTTGTTCCTGTCACAAGGGAGGTGGACCAACCCTCGCAACAACGAATGAAAAGCAACCGCGGCTAATGAAATTGAACTGGCAGCCCATGGCAGATGAGAACAACAATGCAATAACAGCGAATGCAACATTGCGGTTAGAGTTTATGTATAGTATGCATGAGCACATTCTATCGGAGTACCAAATCTCTACTCGGTGCTCCGATTTTGTTTTGACCCTGGGAGAGCCACACGACACGCGACAGGTTCCCCGTCATCCTTTTTAATAGTCATCTGGATTATGAATACACTTTGCTTTCAAGATTTGTTCACTCCTTTCCTAAGTATTTGTTTCCTACGACTAGTTAACCACTTTCTTTTATCCTACAAAGCTGTTTTATAAATTCTGTTCGGATATCAGCGTCTCATTGTTACTGCCCAGTCACTGTCCAGTATATGTATTGCAGTGAGGAACTATTTCGCACTATTTTCTACCTCATTGCCCAATTTATTCATGTACATGTAGTTGCACATTGTACCCATTGGCCCATGTCACCTCTGAGAGACCAAGGTCTTGTACGTTCCACAATGATGGCCGCATCGCTTATCGTTTCTCCCCGGCACCCACGTACCGCAGTTGGATCCACCTTTCGCAAGCTACCAGAATCCTATTATCTACTTTTCAGGCTCTCGGAAAATCGCCGACGCAATCGATACTTGGATGTTCCTTGTCTGGATTCGTCGGCAGTGGAACTCTCCGATGGAACCTACCTGCACGCGAATTGGGTGCATGGATATCGAAGTCCCCGCGCGTACCTCTTGGCACAAGGTGAGACCGATTTCAAGCTCATTCGAGGCGTCATTAACCCTATGAGGCGTGTCCCTTGTCCGTCTCTCCCTTCGTATTTCACCTCTTCGCCTGTGTTGGCTGTTGGAGCACCGACATGTGTATTTGTTAAGTTAGAGTCTGTGACTCTGCCGGCTACGACGTGTCTTGTTATCCGAAGGTTGCCTGTTCTAATCTGCAGCTCACTAATATCTTACTTTGTCTCTGTCTCATTGCCACATTTTTCTTTACGCTTCTAAGCTCTTTAGTCTTATCGTCTCACTCTTATCGGTGAACACCGCAATGTATCTTTCTTGCTACCGTTCGCACGTATAGTTGGCACTTGTCAACATTTTACTGATTCTTCTGCACTCGTGTATACATCATCCAAAATTCTCTCATGTTACAACACTTAGAAACCCATCCGATTTGTACATCCCTGCCTCATTTTATCATTTTTCTTGTCCTTTGTTTCACTCTTTCGTGAGCAAATATGCTACCCCCACTTAGGCGTTCAATATTCATTGTTACGCTTTATATTTTGTACTTAAAGTGAAGCTCACCTCTATGGTAGATAGGTACGCAGGTACCAACAGGTTTGTACTCTTACTACGTGCCTTTTTGGTCCTCTCACAAGGCCCCACTCCATTCATATAATGTCCTTTTGTTTGCTCTAGCTAGCAACAAATCGTACCAAAAGTCTTCTCGTTTACACTTAACAGTCACCCTACACATGCTCCGTTTTCTTTTGCAATCACAAAAGATGCGTTTATTGATGGAGCATTTCGTGATACATGGCACTCGATTCTAATCTGCCTTGTGTCACATAATTCAATTATCACTGTTACCTGTGTGCACCACTGTACTCGTTATTACTCTCTTGTCGCTCTTTGTATGTGTGTGTGCGTGCGTGCATGTGCGCATCCGAATAAACCCGAGTCATTACACCCCATTAGGTTTCTTCACATGAACCTTCCAGTCACTAGACACTTCTGTGCCACACGTCTGAATCTCCCTTACTTTGTCTTAACGTTTGCACTGATCCATACTCTCGGTTTGCACTCTCTCATTACTCTGCGCTTTCCATCAGGCTAATGAATCCATTCGGCTTTCCATCCCTCGTCGCCTTTGCTGTCTTGCACATTCGTGTGCCAGTCACCCTTCACCCTCGTTGTATCTACGGAAATTGGCACGCCAGCTGTCGGAAAATTACTTTCCGATGCGAATACCAGTTTTCGCGCTGTGGCGGCACACACAACATCAAGACTGCGATTGTTGATAGTCATTCTCTGCAAGAATAGCTAGCGATCGTGTTTTTCTCGTTATACACATTCAATGTGCTCGGTACTACCAAGTTTGTAGCTGAACTTCCGTCGAAAAATTTGTCCTACGTGGCCGTCACGGAGGACGTTTCTCGGTCTCTCACCATCCATCGTTGCACTGATTCTCTATTTCGAATTTACGAACATACCCGCTAAAGCACATCCACACCAATCGTCACTTCTGAGAACTGTATGAATTATTTAGCTAGGGGACGCCTGGGTTATCATCAGCGTAAGAAAAAGCATAGCATTTGCACTTTTTTAGGTCATGGTCGTTTTGCGATTTATGTGGCATCTTTTCCGTTTCACTAGGTTTCTATTGCACTTTTTCTAAGTGCCCCTTAGGCTGTATTCACCTGAGCCAGATGATACGCTTCTTATCAAGTAATCGCTTCCGCTATCGAAAGGAGTCAGATGACTTTGAACATTTGTACTCCCACCCCAAACTGTCAACTTACTACCAGCGTAGACATGCGTTCGCTTCGTAAGCATTTACTTGGGCGAAAGTAGGTTGACATTGTCACATGCTACAAATACCATCTGACTACTCCATCATTCCCAAGTACCGATGCTTTCCGTGATTATCGTGCCTTGAAAAGTCACCTCAGATTGAAGTATCTGGCAACTGTTCCGACTCACAGTTACTGTGGGATGTTGACTGAGGGCCGCTCTAACGAACTTCCACCGACCGGCGGAACCTAGGAATCACTTTCTCGCACGTTGTTACTCGGAATCGCCGTACAAAGTCAATGAAATAAAAATTTTCTTTGGTACACACCTTAATGAGAAGCATAGCCACAAGCTAGTGCAGTGCATCAAACCAATAGTTATCTGTATACATTGTGTTGTTCAAGCATATGACGATACTCAAAAAGGTGTCAGGACAGAGACCAGTCTGGTTTCTACTGATCCGGTTTTATCCATACCCAACTGGATTTCCGGAGTAAGATACATGTGAGTAGTTCTGTACTAATTGTAAGAACACTGCTGATTTGCCAAACAAGTCTTTTCTCTTTTTCGAGGACAAGCATCGCACATCAAAATCACCAGATCAAGTGTAATAGCACTTGTGCCAAACAACGTCGGATGCCACTGGTGTACATTGCTGATGATAGGAACGTCGCATTCTGGGTTCTCGTTCTACTGCTGCAGCAGCTATTGTTATCAGGTCTCATCGATACCATCGTTGTGCCATCTGCGCCCCACATTGGTTCAGGTTATCTGGCTAGTACTGGAGATACTACAGAGCCATTAAACCACTTCTAATTTATCGTCTCCATTGTTCGGATCTGAGATTGAGAATTCATAATTTGCCCATCTTTATCACACGTTTTCTTCACCGGCCCCTATTATGAGACCCCCGCTTCAGAGAGGCCACATTGCGCACCTGCTCCCATTAACAACATCACCTCATGGGCTTTCTCCATGCTCCAACACTACCAATTTTCTGACTGCTTACCAGATGTCGGTCTAGTGAGCAGGTACATGTTGAAGTTGGTTATGCAACGTGACTTTCTTCCTCGCTGCCTAACAATTCCATCTACTATTCATCTTCCATGCTTTGTGCGTACACGTAGTTGTGAGAGTTCTGTTCATGGGACATTGGGAGTATTGCTGATCTGCACTCATTCTGTTTGCCTCGTGAATTATTGACAGCTAGCGCTTCGATTCACTTTGATACTTTTGCTTTGAAGGTTGTGTTTTTGGCCTCACTGAGACCCGATGACCATGCATCACATGTGGAAAGGAACCAGGGCATGTTTGGGTTCGAGATAAGAGTTGCGAACATTCATGAATTTCGGTTTGATGTGTCTGCTGCGTTGAAACAGAAGCTACCGAACACTACTAGTAGTCCGAGAATCAACGGATATTTAGAGCCCAACCCAGGAACGTACCTTTCAGAGCAGCCAGGTCAGCTGCGCCCATCGGTAGTTCAGTTCCGCTAGCCAATATGAAGTTAGGTACGCACGTCAGTGATAGATGTGAATGTTCCTGAAACGACTTGATGCTTCGGCGGCACACCATTGGTTTACATTGTTTTCCCGGGAGATTTTCCTAGGTGTTCCTACTAAAAAACGGTGCTGTCTATTTTGAGGCTACTATATACACTGAATCTAGAAAACGGCTTCAAAAGCATCAGCATATTGATCTTTGAGCTGCTATGGGCGATCTGCTTTCACATTCATGTCACCATCGACAATTCCAATGACCGTACTTTGCTCCTTAGAACGTGAACCGATCATACAACGGATCTTTGGCAGCTTCTGGGCTGTGTTCGGTGGGTATCTGTGCCAAACAACAAAAATATGCCTCACCTTCTATGCCTACCCCAATTGCGCCCCTAACTCGGAGCATCCACATGAGATCTAATCGTGCACAATTTCTTCTACACTTCTGTTGAGTGCGGCTTCTTTTCCGCTGTTACTGGAAGCGCATGTCGTCTCAGCTCAACTACTTCGATCCACGCTACCGAGTACGTATTCCGAACCGACATCTCTCACTTGCTCCACTAGCGTGTAACTTCAAAACCAGCGTCACCTGCTATCTGGTCTGACACAATACATAGCCATTGCGAAATGATGCTCGAAGCACGCCTTATTATGACCGCTACTATGGCGAACGAAGTAATTTATGAACCCTCGTTAATTGGATTGGTGATATGAGTATTGTCCAAAGTACAAACACAAGGAAAGAAGAGCATCGGTGGTGGGGGTTGTCGGCAGATAGTACCTTTCCGCCTAACTCTAGAGGCAAGATATACTAATATAAATAAATAACTTTTAATCTCGATTTACGCGCTTGAACAGATATCATCAGTTAATTACAGCATTTTCCCCGCATGGGTCACATGTTGGTCGGCTGCGCTTAACATAACACAGATGAGTCTTTGCTAGAAAGTCTGAGAATATGCCGACGAATAATAATGGTAATGCGAGGCTGTCCGTATTGAATTAGTTCATTGAGGGATTTTTAACTTAAAGTTAGTGAAGATGGATTGATATCCAAAAATATGCTTCAGAAACAGTAGCGAATTTTCTGCAACTAGCTATGCTTTGTTTCAATAAAAGCATAGGCCTGATCCAAGGTGCAAAGTAGTGCCTCAACTCCGATGAAGATTCAAGTGTAGATTCCCCAGCTGATTGGTGGGCTAACTCGCTCCATTTGTCAGGCATCGTGTGAAGATAAGTAGGTGCATTGTCGACGATTTTTTACACAGGACCGCAGGACAATCGTAACCAGAGCTTATCCACACAACATCAAGAGACATGAGTGCTCTCAACGATGTGATAAATTTTGTGGTTGCAGGAGGATCTATTGTGCATATCTTTCCGGCATGCGGAGCCAGAGTTGAGATTGATGGATGGATCATGCGCTATCGACACTGGAGCTTCACTTCGAATGCTGCATCCGTAAAAATTGGGTCCCCATTCAGCACCACACATTTGTTCGTACACCTCAGAAAGAGAACAGAAAGTAGAACCACGCAAACAAGACAGCAAAACTATTAAAACGTCGCCATTTGCACTATAGGATATTAGCCGATACCTTTATCTTAAATAGTTTTATGTTTTCTTACTAATTTACTAACGTGAATTTCGGAGTCTAGCTTGCTTGTGATACCATTGATGGAGAAGAGATAGAGGTGCCAAAGTCATCATTCAAAAGTAAGATACACGGTTCGGAAAAGTGGCATGCGAGTAAAGACTCAATCGAGTCACTGCAATAACTGTGGGATAAGGATAGATGAGAGCTTGAAAGGAATCGAATAACTTCAAGCTACGCCTAGGCCAAAAATTGCATGGCACATATGATACCTCGAGCGCAGTGACGGTATTGGACTTAGACAAAACTCGCAAGCTGTCATGTCGCAGTTAAATATCAGTCATGGCGGTCCGCCGCCGTCACCCATGGCTCAGTTGCTTACGTCGTTGACTCGTAAGAGTAAAGTCTTAGGTTCGGATCCGGCGGATGCGCGCTACTGACGTGTCTCAATTGGACGAAACAGCCATCTGGCGCTTTCCTGGATGGGCGATGGCTGTCTGGGTTTAGGTAACTCGGCTTGAGGCAGGTAGTGTCAGATCTGTGCCTTCCCACCACCAGAGTCAGCTCATATCGCCTATGCTCCACACTAGTCTAAATGACTATAATGTGTGTAAAATATCCTCTTCCATGACCTAGTTCGGTGGACAAATGATTTTTCTGTCCAGCCTCGTATGAGAATGTTAGGTACGGTTGTCCGGTGCGCGTGGATCTGTCACGCTTGGAGGCTGCTGCCCATTGTGGCTCAGGCGATCACAAAAGCTTGTGGACCGTTGCATTGCTTTGAAGTCCAGTTTTTTCGGTATGGAATCGCCCAATCTATAGGGCATTCTCATTCACTAATCGCAATGCTGTTTTTCTGTTTTCAACCGTTGTCCAATCCCACTAGATGCCATTAATCGGTGCTTTTCTGAACCTATGGCCTCGCAGGGGTGCTTGTCTACATTATCATGGCTTTGATCACATATGAAGGGGACCGGGGATCAGATCGTCAATCAAAAAGCACTTTGCGCTTCGCCAAAAAACTAACGTGTGTTGTTCAGTGCATCGGCCTCGCATTCACTTTTTCACACCACCAGCCATTAATCCGCATGTGCACTAGTCATACAGCATTGACCGGTTTGCTGTTGTTAAGTCCTCTTTTCTGTCTTGCTTCCATTCTGCAAATGCTTGTCACTATGTTCGTCGTCCACGTGATGCTGTGGTTGCTTGGAGGTTCTCCATTGTATGACTGCGGCACAGAAACATGCAGCAACTTAGCAACTCTCTTTCCTTCGCGCCTGCTGTTTTCCTTACTAAAGACATGACCCACTACACTAGTGGTTTCGGACCGTATCGAAGTGGATCTGTTACATTTACGACGATAGATCGAAACCCGCTGAAACAGTTGTATATACTCCGTTTTCTCAATTCCAGTAGAGTCGATTAGTTCTGCCGTCATCAGTTAACTAGACATATCGCCGACGAAACCGTTGCACTTCGTGCGCCCAATGACAGCAACGTAGTCAGCGTTGGGTTTTGGAGTATCGGTCATATGGTTGTTGGATTGCGACACTCAATATCTACTGTGACCTCTGTTTGCTTTAAAGTGAGCCTTGGCCATTCTGATCACCAGGACCGTATCCGATGTGTGTAGGCAGGTCGGCGTTACTCGCAATGTTGTGAGCGAGCCGTGCCGAACCTTATTTCTGACAATCACCTATGCATGCTTCCTGCCATAGCTTAGATGTCACTTCTGCCGTTTTACTAAGCTGTTGGTTTGTATCCCACAGGGTTCCTGCAAGTTGTCATTTCAAGATATTGTTCCTAGGAGTGTGCACTGTTTTCTCTACGCTTTTTTTAGTATTACACCTTCCCCGTTTTACTGTTCAACTTATGTTCGTCTCTGTTCAGTGTCTGGCGGCTACTAAGAAATCAAGTACATCAATGGAAATCTTGTCGCAGTTCTTTTTCACATTTGTCATAACTTCGCACCGCCTCACTTTGCGTAAATGCATGCCTGTGTTATTATTCTCCTTTTTGAGTGTGGCTGCATTCTCAACGCACCGCTACCACCCCCTCGTTGAATACTGCTCCACAGCATCGAGTTTGAAGTCATGAGAGACGTGCTTATTTTTACTCTGAAACCAACGAACTTCTTACTGGCATTCTCGGCATTCTTTTTGTGGTCTACTGCTCTTTCGTCCAAACACTGTTGTTCATAATAACACCAGTCGTTTGTACGCTAACGATAGGGAACCACGGCACAACACACTCACTCGGCTGCATTTCGAGCTAAAGCTATTCTTGTGGCTATTCTGTAAATGTACTCCTTACTCTAGCTCAAGCCTGCCTTTCGTAAACTTTTTCTTCCGCCAATTTGTTACTACCAACTGTAATTGTGTATTCCCTTTTCGGAATTATCACTTCTCTTAGTTCCCACCTTCTCTTTCTTCTTATACTCTCCCAGGTCCCTTGGATAACACGAGACGCGATTTTTGGTTGGCTGTATGGGAGCACCGCGTTCCTGTGGTAGTAATGTTGACCAAGTGAGTAACACCGGTGAATAACCACAGTCATTCTAGATAGTATTTTCTTTTTTTCCTTGCACACTTGTACCCTACTGGGTTTGTGCCTATCGGTGAGTTATCATGCGGAGCGCATGGTGCAAATTTGTTCTTTTTACTTGTGCAGATTTAGGATCATGACTCTCGATGGTATCCACTGCAAACTGGTAGTGGTCGTTTCGCAGTGGATAACAAGAGATCTGAAAATTTCCAAGACGATCCATCACAGGTAGATCCAATCACATAGCCGCGACAGATCCAGGAATTCGTTTGGCACTTGTTTGATTCTTCAGAAACTCATCGGCGACACATCGACTACTGCTGTAACCCATGGTCTTAGACAAAGGGAGTGCTGGGTACGAATCCCTTTGAGCTCGATGGGATGCCCGTTGCTGATAAATTCCAGTAACATGAACCAACCGTCGAATACTTTTCCGGATTTTTGTTTAATCTAGCTGTTATAAATCTCAAACACTTCATTTGCATGCAACGTGTTTATGACCTGGATTCTCTTCCGGTGTAGCAACACTCTTGTGTCTCACCACTCTGAGCTCATCAGACAGACAGTTTGGCTAACATTCGAACAGATTATCTCGCAACCGCTGACTTCTGTACATACTTTGACCACTCAGTGTATTCCGTTCTTCGAGTAATACCTACATTAATCCTATGTGGTCACTAGCTTGTGTTTTTATTTGATTAGTATCATCATGCTCCTGTGTTTTATGGGTTCCCGTGTACTTGTGACTCAGGGAACTATAGTCGTTCTACACCTTATTCTCATGAGCTATTAATTGTAACAACGAAACAACCTAAATCGAGCACGTATTGTATGTAAATATTGCTATTTCTAGCTATAAACCTAGACTATACGCACGGTCTGGGCCGAAAACGGTCAAAACAGAAGAATTTTTATTGTAATCCTGTAACCGTGGTTCTGAAGGGCAGAATAATATACAACATATGACTCATGACTAAGTTTGCAACGGCAGTGGTAATAGCTAAGTAACAGTGATGTTAAAATCAGACAGGTGGAAGCGTGATCTTGAGAAAAGTGCGTGCAATTGAAATAAATGTTAAACGATACTCGTTTGAGCATGTAATTGTCTAAAGCACGAGAAGCATGTTATTAGCTCGGAAGGTGGGAATAGGATAGCTTAGTTATCAAGAGGGAATAATCAATCTGATATAGGAAATCAAAGTTCTTTTGGACTTTACATTAATAATGACTTATTATTAGTATTATTATTTGAATCACGTAGTTCTTTTTATAGTCTCGAGAGGGAAAACCAAAAGACATGCTGTGTGATGCCTCGTCTCCAACTCGTGCGTTATCAATCACAAACGTGCAACAACATAGATAATGCAAACAATGTTAGATAAGATTATACATGGCCGAACGCTTGCGCTTCCGGCCTCATCATGAAATAATAAATTCAAGCTTGCATTTTTCTTACAGAAGACATTGTGTAGATTTCAAAATGTTAAAGGCGTTACGAGTACAAAACTCAATGTCATCGGCTACTGGCAAAAGCAATGGTGTATTATTGTTTATTTTTAATCAATTGGAAAAAGTCAATCTATACTTTAACTGAAAGGGTCTTAACTAAATCAAGAAATACAAACGATCTTCAGATCTCAGTTCCATTAATTATATCAAAAGCTTGTATTAAAATTTATAATGTATGTCCTTTTTCCTTCTTATCTTCATGTCAGAGTGAATATGGCCCGACTTATTTTTAACTCACAAAATGTGACCCTCCTTGTGGAAAGTTTGAACACCCCTGCTATAGACTGGTGTTTTAATCAAACGCCTAAGCGCAGATCTCGTCGACACGAGCGGCCGCAGTTCTGCTACATTGTACGCTTATTTTTAATGAAGCACTTATTCGTTGTTCGATAACCTTCATACCGTGATCACCTTTGCAAGGTAGCTGACTGAATTCTGGCTTCTTCTGGACTATTGGCAGACGATTTCGCTTGGTTATTTCACTGAGGCGCTTGATAAACTGATATGGATAATCCTTGAACTGTAACATATCGATCCCCACATCTCTTTCTGCTTCTACGGTGTCTAGTGTGCAGTTTATATGATCCCGATAGTAGTGTACGGATGAGAGAGCGTTGGTGTTGCATAGGGGAGAAACTCGTACAATACAAATACTGGTCAGTACAGGTTGGCTTTCTGTAACAAGGCTGTTGTAACGCTGCCCTGTCTCTGCCCTTTCCATGGTGCTCTGTCCCACCCAACCAGGAGAAAACAGAACACAAGACTCACCGGACTGGAATATATTGTGTATCGAAAATGGTCATATTTATTGGTCTCACGCACATCCTCATATCTGCCTTACAATCCAACCGTCCGTTGCCCGGCTGATAGGTGATCACCTGTTTACCTACACCGCGCGTACTCGCAGTCTCCTGTGTTTGGCTGCCTGCAAGCTCGTCTGATCACAGCCTTGTTCAGACCAGCGCTGACGGAATGATTTAGTCAGCTCATAGCAATCCGTGCTGTCGACGAATCGATTACGTCAGCAACCGGACCATTTCGTGTCGTATAGCCGTGTTACCTCGTTCATCCGTCGCGACCAACACACGCAGATCTGAGTGAATCGTCTGGCCACCGTGCAACCAGGGCAACTAGGTAAGGGCGACAATTCTCTTGCTCACTGTCACACATCACTGTAAGGTTCGGGTGTATTTTTTCGTGTGTGTCGGTCGCATGTACGATCTCCACATCCGAACTCACGATTGGCAGTATTACCAACGTAACGCTCATATAAAATCTCCGATTTTCATTCATACCCATGAACACGTCTAGCAACAACATCCACGCCGTCTAACTTCTGGTATGCTTTTCCTTGAAACTAAAATTGAATACATAAAAGAAGCATGCTCTTCAACAATTCTGTGGGAAGCCGCCGTCGAACCTCATGTTTTGGGATGAGCTCACATAAGTGGTGAACAGTTTCGTTCAAAGGGATTTTGGTGAAGAGAGATTAAACCCCAAGAGAGCCCATTCATATTGCGGCGAATTCACGAAAACTAAGTAAGGAAGTGGCTCGGTGGTTGACATAGTATACTTTACTATGGTTTTTCTGATAGGTTCAAGCATGCTGCTAAGTCATTTAGTTAACTAACCATAGAGATTATTGTCTACATCGGTAAGTCCTGCTTTAGGTACTGGCGCACTGGATCAATGACTTTCTTATGGGGAGAAGATGGCAGATACAGGTGGATGGCCATCTAACAGACTGGCACTCCTCCACTAGCGGTGTACCCGAAGGCACAGTGCTGAGGCCCATTTTATTCGTGATCCACATAAACGAAGTGCCTCCGCTTATTCGATCGTCTTGTCCACTGTTCACAGACAACTTGGAGATTTGGTGGGTTATTGATTCTCTCGGCGACTGTGACGTCCTTCAGCAGGACCTCGACCGCCTATCCCGGTGGTCTGCAGAAGTTTGACCTACCAGTCAATCCGGCCAAGTCCTCGTTACTGAGCCTAGGGAGGGGTTGTAATGGGCGTGCGTACACCCTGGCCTGCAACCCGCTGCGTCCCACCAGTTCCGTAAAGGATCTAGGCCTATTCTCACGCTGTGTTCTAAAGTCTGTCGACAACACGAACAGACTGTATGCAAACGGACTACGCCTGCTTTGGGCACATAGACGCAGCTTTTGCACTTGGTCTGAAGGGATTGCCACCCGCCTGTTCTCTTCCATGATAAGACTGGTGCTTCAGTACGGTTCACCCTCCTATTGTCCGATCACAATAGGTGAGGTGCAGAAACTGGAACGGGTCCAGCATATAGCTACGCGGCTCATCCCCAGTTTACGGGGCATGTCGTACGAGGACCGATGTAGGTGATTAGGGCTGTATACCCTGTCATATCGTCGGCCTCAAGTTGATCTCATTATGGCCCACCGGATATTGCACCTGGGCCATTTTCCTATGTTGAAGCCGTTGCTTCACGTTCGCGCACCAAGTAGCACACGCGGACACCGATACAAGCTAGTGGTAGCGGATTTAAAGCGCATCTCTAACCCTCTGAGTTTCGATTGTCTACTGGTGAAATATTGGAACAAATTGCGAAATCGGTTTTAGAAGTAAAGAGATTCATCGATGCTCACCTTGCTGACTACAGGTATAGGGCGTGTGTCGCACCCGGATACTATGTTGTGCAGCTGCAATATCCTGCCACCGCGCAAGAATCAGCGACGTGTTTCGACACATGTGCCCGGTCCACTTACGATGGAGCAACACAGATTTTTATCTTCTTGCTCTCTATTCTCAATATTCAGTTATTCACTATGCTCGGCTTCAGGAGAGACACCATGTACGGTATGGTAAAGTTTTTACACAACAATTTTTGTTCCGTTTAGTTCAGTTGAACAGCCATTATCCGAACACCAAAGTGTGGTGGATCCAGTTGCCACGACATCCATCGCAGGAATAACAATAAATAGTAGCGGCAAAATAGTTGGGTTGTATGCGAATAGTGTACAACGAAAATGGGAGCAAGAAGTAAGTACGTTAGACTAATCAGAATGAAACGACACTTAACAACCAGATGAGAGAAACCGTATGCAGCGACGCCATGTTCTCCAACCATTGCTGTGCACCATCCAGGGGCCCCTATCCACCTAGACGGTATGCACCAACTTGACCATGTCTTTCACTTTTTTTAATGCCACGTCATAGACTGGTCACCTCGGGGTTTCATCCAACTTGGTGCAGCCACGGCGTATAATGCACACCGAGGGAGTCGAACAACGGCATCCAGAGAACATGGCCAAGCCAACGTAAGCGATCATGATTCAACAAACGCTCGAGTGAGGCATCAGAAGGCTTTTTGCCAAAACTAACTGACGGACCTCAGCATCGCTCACTCGGTGTTCCCACCAAACGTAAGCAACAATCCGCAAGTACCGGTGGTCAAACACGGCCAAGCGTTTAATGTCTTCGCCGCGAACTGACCATG